AACATATTACATAAGAATATATTCACTCGCAATTAGCAGTTTTATAAACGTATATTTAGAAAACCAGAAGATTCAAAAATTAAACTTGTTAGCTACGAATTTCAAGTAAGAGAAATGAAATAGTAATGCCCGAAGATTCTATATAGTGAAATAAAATGTTTTTATTAAAAAAATATAGATAGTCTTGGCATTTAACATAAGAAAATATAAGTTATTCTTACTAGTAGTACTATTTGGAAACGCCATTGAGTTTATCGTGAATTTGACAATAAAAGTATATATATAAAACCTAAAAAAATATTGAATAGAGATACCATAACCATAAATTAAATTAATATTTAACAGAATGTAAAAATAGAACAGTTACACGTATAATATACTTACCATTTGTGGTCCAAGAACTCTGCCAATTACTTTAATTAAGTAAACCATATTTTCACCCTTCTTTTTGTAAATTTCAGTAACAAATATTATTCATAATTATTATTATTATTGTTTTTTTTTTTTTGTTTTTTTTTTGTTTTATAAAGCAATATCGCTGTAAGATAAATCTGTATTTATTATTTTCCGTCGATTTTTAATTCATTAACCATTTTTAGTTGGCAGAAGTTTGTTCAGAGAGGAAAAATTATGTGCATCATTCATCCAGTTTGAAAATAGGAAAGTGCTGCATGTTGCGTTTGAGAAACATCATTTGCTCGACCATATCAGGATGAAGCTTGTTACGCAATGCAGTGATATGTAGTCCAGCATCAGAGAATAATCGCTCTGAAGGGACAGATGTTGCTGGTACCGAAAGATATTTCCGAGCCAGGCACGATAACACAGGATATTTTCCAGATCTATCTTTCCACTATGTTAATGGATCACAGCCCCTTTTCTCAATAGGTTCACGAAGATAACGATCAACTTCGGTCTCATTATAAATTTCATCATTCAATTCCTCATTACTATATAAAGCTGCAATTAAGCTATTAGCTGTTGCAGGTTCACGATCTGGAGTGTTAAATGGCTTATCAAGCCCAACCGAAGGTTGATGGTAATTTTTCTCAGTACAAAGTGTTCGCACTGTATCAATTGTCGTCGCTTTTATTGTTTCATCACCAAGAAATTTCAAACTTTTAATTCGCGGGTCCAAAAACGATGCAACAAGCCCAATTTTTTTAGGAACCTCCCAATATTCTTTAAGAGAAAGGAAACATGTAGCCTTAACCAGATCACATAAACCTTCATTAGTAACAGGTGTCTCAATTAACTGACGACCTTTAAATCGTGAATCATTATGTGCACTTTTTTTGACTTTGCTATGGTTACGTTTGTTTTTTCGTCCTTGTGCTGCTTGTAATGGTTGTTGAAGTTGTTCCGAACTCACTAGTGTATCAAATTCATTTTCTATATCAGATTCAGGATCATCTTCCTCGATTGATTGGCTTTGACTATAAAATAAATAATAAATATTATATCAGATTTTTAAGAAATAAAATCGTCTAAAGTCAGACAGTTTTTAAGTTGATTACTAATCTATCTATTTATGAATCAAAAATTATGAAGAGAATTGAACTTACTACTGTACTAGAGTTAATACCTGAATTCGGATTTAATGATTAAATCTGCTATATGATTGGTTATGATTGAAACTCATACGTACAGTACATATCGTACTAATATAAATCCGGATTTAACATTTAATTATTAAATCCGGATTTAACGTTAATCATTAAAATCCGGATTCAGGTATTAACTCTATACTGTACCTGATTTTAGACGATCCTTAAAAAACATTTTTATTTTTAATAAAAAATTTTTTAACATGCCTATTAATAGGTCCGAATAATAAATCGGCGTAGTCATCTTCGGTTTGTTCATAAGAAGGTGCAAACTTCTTAATAAGCAATCTCATTGTCAGATAAATAAGGTTAAGAGTAGGATAGCTTGAACCAGAAAATATGTTGGTGGCCTCATAGAATGGCTTTAATAATGAAATAAGATTATCTAACAATCGCTATTCATTTTCAGTTAGATTTATTAATTTCAAATATTCGCCGTCAAGTCTGTCGCAGCGTTCTGATTCTGAAGGCAACATTATAACAAGATACTCGATCGCTTTTCGTAGTTCTTTAAGCCGGACCCAAGCCAAGTATGAGGAGTTCCATCTTGTTGGCACGTCATCGATTGTTTGATAAATCTTTGGATATCTACATTTTTCTTGTGCATCCATAAGTCGTTCAGATTGCTTAGGGCTTTGAGAAAAAAAAAGAATTAAATTTTTTGCTCGCTTAATAAGTCGCACCGCGGGTTTAAGACCTTTTAGCACACTTAGTTGAAGTGTATGGGCTGAACAAGATGATCGTATAACATTATCCATTAAACTAATCGCCTTTTTAACATTGGCACCATTGTCAGTAGTAATGCAAAAAACCCGCCCAGTGAGTCCCCAATTAGTAATAACTTGATTTAGAGAATCTTCGATAGCTTCAGCTGTATGTGGTGATGGAAGTGGTTGTATTGTTAATAAAGCTTCCTTTAATTCAAAATTTGAATTGATCCATGTCACTGTGACCCCAATATATGCTTGATTGGTTCTTGAGCTCCATAAATCTGTCGTCAGATTAACATATCCGCCATCCGTATTTATCATACCAAATAATTGATCGCGACTCCAATCATAAGCCTTATTAATCATTTTTTTCACAGTTTTTTCACAAGGAATTTGAAATCCAGCTTCCATATAGTTTAAGAGTCGACGAAAAGCTTTACTTTGTAAAATATGAAAAGGTTGACAATCCTCGATTATAAATTCGACCAATAATTGCGCTATCTTTTCCTGTCTCTGCTTTGTAATGACATGCATAGCCTTGATGATTGAGTCATTAGTGTTGGTTCCCTCAGGATGGTCTTTATCAATTCGATGCTTAGACCAAAGATGGCCAAGCATATTTCCCGTTGAAGAATCATGTGCATACTTGACGGTAATGTTATTATTTTTACAGATTTTGCAAACAGTAAAATTGCCATTTTTTGTTGTCTCAACCTCGAAATGATCCCATACAATACTAGGATTATCGCGTTTTTTTCGCTTTTTTGATTTACACGCAGGCGATCTTTCAGATTCAAGTGGCTCCTCATATCCCGAAAATTCATCATCATTCGCAGAGGGTATATTATCCTCTAACATGTGATTAGACACTGAAGAACTCATTCGGGTAAATACACCTACAGTTCTTTTTTTTTTTTTTTTTTACTGTTATTTACGATAATTTTTTCTCACGTAACATATTGATTTTAAAAGGTTCACCTGTCTTCAATATGTATTTCACACTTGGTGGAGAAATTCTTTGGTTCGACGGCCGCCGCTTAAGGTTTTTTTTTTCTTTTTTGAAAACACTGAAACTTTTTTTTTATAATAATATATCCGGTTAATAGTGGCAAGCGAAGACATTCTAATGTTCTTATAGCGAATATTAATATTTTAAAAGATCATAATAATAGGGTTGTCTAAGAAGTTATACATTTTTACAACTATAAACCCACCGCTCAAAAAAAAATAGCGGCACAAAAAAATTTTTTTTCAACCAATTTACATTTTGGTTATATTTGAACCTTAACTTTAAACTTTATTCTTGATTCTGCAATATCCGGTTTGTAATATTACTGTAATCGGTTGATTTATTATCTAGAT